GCAAGAATATGGAATGGTAAGCATCCTACCATTCTTCTTATGCATGAGAGTTGTGAACTAAATTATCCTCACACTTAAGGGCAAATATTAAGTCAATGGGTAATTTAATGGTGCTTATTTCCATTTTCCTGGAATTTTGAAAGTATTGCTTTTAGTGTCATATTATTTTATATTGTTCTGAATTTTAATGTTTGGGGAATGCTTACTATGTATATAATATAGACTTACCGTTTCTCAATGTTATCCTTCAGTTAATTGGTTCTACAGTTCTCATCACTGTAATTAGCTGGGATGAACAGGAATTCTTAAACATGATATATTCTTAAACATTATATTCTTAAACCTTCCCTTTTTTTGATTGTCACCACTTGTACATTATTCAATTAACAATGTTCCATAAGGTTAATAATGCAAAGTTAAAAATGTGCTTTATCTCTATGTTGATTAATGGATGATATTTCTGAATTCCAAGTTTCCAGGGATTCTGTGGTGTTTTTGTATTTGGCTTCTTCTGGCATGGTCATAATTTTCCAGTTGAAATTATGGTTGAGCCTGCCCATGTGTTATGGGATTAAGGAATTTTCATCACAACTTCTGATTGCTGGTTATTCATGGATATGCTCTGTGAGTTTCCTGCCTTCTGTCTTACATAGTGGCTGTTACAATCTTCCTACTGTATGTTGTGGGTTCCTGATTTTTCTTCTTGGGTACTGGGTCTTTGGTTTGCCTGAGATGTTTTGAGAGCTTTAGTTTAGTTTAGTTTACTTTATTGTCATTGCACATCGTACAACGAAATCAAAAACCATCTTCAGTGTACATCATGACCATGAAAATAAACACAAACACACATCCTTCACCCTTCACACATTGAACCAGAAACCCCCAACACCGCACCAACACTGCACTATACAGCAGAATTCAAAAGAGCTACTGCCCTGGGATAGAAGCTGTTTTTCAGCCTATTTGTCCTTGTTTTTATTATTCTGTACCGTCTGCCAGATGGTAATAGTTCAAAAAAAGGGTTCCCAGGATGAGATGGATCTTTGAGAATGTTTTGAACTTTCTTAAGGCAGTTGGAGCTATAAAGCTCTTCCAAAGAGGGGAGAGGTCAACCAATGATCTTCTGGGCAATGACATTAACCCTCTGGAGTGCTTTCCTATCTGCCACTGTGCAATTGGCAAACCATACAGAGGTGCAGTAAGTTAAAATGCTCTCTATGGTGCAGCGGTAGAAGGTCACCGGCAGTTTCTCATTCAGTTGTTTTCTGAGAAGTCTCAGGTAGTATAATCTCTGCTGGGCCCTTTTGACCAGGGCTGCAATATGGGCACCCCAGGTCAGGTCCTCTTTTAGGGTAACACCCAGAAACTTAAAACTGGCCACTTGCTCCACTCAGTTTCCATTGATAAGCAAGGGCTGGATGTATGATCTGTTCCTTCTATAATCCACTATAAGCTCCTTGGTCTTATTAGTGTTGAGGACCAAGTTATTGTCTCCACACCACAAAAGCAACTGGTCCACCTCATCTTGGTAGGCAGACTCATCCCCCCTGGAGATAAGTCCCACCACTGTTGTATCATCTGCAAATTTAGCAATAGTTTTACTAGCGTGAGTGGGAATGCAGTCATGCACATAAAGACTATAGAGTAAGGGACTCAACATGCAACCCTGTGATGTACTAGTGTTAAGAATAAGGGCTGATTTAGTTGTCTTGTATGCTATAGTGATACCATTTTGTGCAATAATCGGTTGGCTGTGTATCAGAAAGTTATCTATATGGTAGATTTATCCTTTTGATAGTTTGTGCTAATTGTGCTGCAAAAGTTTGAGTGGCCAGGCACTTTTTGATAAAGTTATGTGGGTATCCATTTTGTTGCAAAACACTGTATAGGTGGTCTGCTTTCTTTTTTGGGGGGGTCTTCTGAGTTGCTGCAATGCATTTACACTCATGTGAATAATGTTCTTATGAAACTTAGCTTGTGGGAAGTTGAGTTGTTTAATAATGGAACACTTGTTGAGTGCGGGTTGTTTCTAGGTTGATTTGTATTTCTAATTTGCCTCTGCTGTTGAGGATATGCAGAAAGGATAGTATGGTTGTTTTTTGTGAATTGTATTCCTTTAAAAGTGTGGTTGATTGTTTCATGTGACTTCCCTAATTGTTACTTTTTTATTATGACAAAGGTGTCATACTGTTCTTCTTTTGTGATTTGACCTTTCTTATTTAAGTATCTGGGAAGATACTGGAAAAGATAATTAAAAAACAGATCTGCCAAGTAGACTACAACCTACTTCTTAGTAAGCTAGAAAAAAGTGGAATAGATAGTACCACCACTAGATGGACTCACAACTGGCTGATAAACCATACTCAATGAGTAGTCCTTAATGGGTCTAAGTCTACATGGAGGGAAGTAAGCAGTGGGGTGCCACAAGGTTCCATCTTAGGCCCAGTTACTCTTCAATATCTTCATTAACGACTTAGATGAGGGAATAGAAGGGGAACTTACCAAATTTGCAGATGATACTAAGCTGGCAGGAATAGCTAACACCCAAGAAGATCGGCTGAAGATCCAGATGGATCTTGACAGACTAGAACACTGGACTAAATGACCTACAAGGTCCCTTCCAACTCTGATTATCTGCTATCTGTTAAGTCATTGATGATTCTCTTGATCGCATTGTCTAGTTTCTGTACTGGGTTGGTGCTTACTGAAATGTAGTGGGTTTTTTTGTCCTCCAGTAATTCCTTGGCTCTTTGTATATATTGTGTTCTGTCCACAATAACCATGATTCAGCATTTGTGTGCTGTGAGAATGGTAATGGTTTGGTCCTGCTTTAGTTTTTTTATTTTTTATTTTTAGGGCTGCCTTCTGCTTTCAGTTCGTTCTGATTCTGGATTCTGTGTTTTCTGGTCTATGGTATGATTGTATGTTTTATATTTTCTTGGGTCTCTGTGGCAATTTCTGGAGTTTTAAATGTACCTGTAATCATGTGATTCATAATTTTAATATCTGAATAATTTTTGTTATTCAAATACTAGTCTTAAATGTTTCTGTCCATAATAGGTTATGAGGTGCATGGCCTGGAAAAATTACCAGATGGACCAGCACTGATTATTCATTATCATGGAGCAACTTTCTTAGACATCTTGTACTTGTCGGTCTTTATTTTTATCAGGAAGAAAAAACTCCTCCACGTAGTTGCTGATCGTTTTATCTTTTCAATCCCAGGTAATTGTTTTGAAAAAATGAACATAATTATTTGTACATCTTATTTAATGTGTAGGTAAGGATGAATAGATAGGTATTAAGATATATATTGAAAAACTCCAGTAAACTAAATTGTTTTCTTCTTTTAAATAACAGTGCATTCTGCTATTAATTGGTCAAGTATTCTGGTACATTAAACTTAATTTCTTATCTTGGAGCCTTATTTAGCTGCACTATATTAAAAAGAAAAGTGGATTTCTGTGTAACTTAATGTATACCATTGTACTGGCTTTTTGGCTGTCACAATATAAAAAATGGTGTTGAGACAAAGAAAAGTGTAAAGGATAAAAAGATGACTAGGGGACTGAAGGATAAAACATACAAAGAACAATTGCAGGAATAGGATATGTCTGAAAAAAAGGACTAAGAGGTGACAAGATTTGAGGGCTGTCACAAGGGGATCAATCTATTCTCCAGAGTACCTGAAGACATGACAAAAAGCAATATAAGGGAACTAATCAAGGATAGAAACAACTTAGAACTAAGAAGAAATTTCCTGACAATTAGAACAATTAATCAGTGTAACGACTTGCTTTCAGTAGTTGTGAGTATTCTAACACTGGAGGTTTTTAAGAAGAGATTGGACAACCATTTGTCTGAAACTGTATAGGTTTTCCTGCTTGAGCGAGAGTTTGGACTAGAAGACCTGCAACTTCCCTTCCAACTCTGTTATTCTGTTATTGTATTTCAACTTACTTATCACACAGTCTTTTGCAGCTACATTCTAGTTAAATTTTTTCAATGTAGTAAAGCAGTTGTAAAGCACAACATCTCTTGACCACATCACTTAGCAACAACAATCCAGTCAATCTTGATTATTGTTCTAACCCCAAGGCATGAACATCATTAAGTGGGAAATGGGGGGAGTTGAAACTAAGCAGCACAGAGCTCTTGCAGGAGTGATATAAGATGGGAGTGGGTGCAATGCTATGCCAGCATAGGCCATGCAAGATTTGGGGGAGGGGGACAGACTGCAGTGTGATTGAGCTCTGGTCTGCCAGGGAGAGGGCATGAAATGTATGCGTATGAGTCCAGGAAGGTTGAGAAAAGATGTGGGATATGTGTTCCATGTGTTCAACTGCAGGAAAGCTAAGAAAAGAGCACATGATGTGTTTATGCAAGTGCCAGGCTAAGAAAAGAGCACATGATGTGTTTATGCAAGTGCCAGGAGTTGTAAGAAAGAGGGTGTATAGGAAAGAGAGTGTGGGGTGCATGTCAATGCACACTGGCCAGAGAAAAGGTGTAGTGTGTGTGTGTGTGTGTGCGTGTGTGAGCACAGGGGGGTGGGGCTGGAAAGGAGGACATTGGAGATTGCAAGTGACAAAAGGAAAAGTAAGGTGTGGTCCGTGCAACTTTCGCTGCCAGCTTTCCATTGACTTTGCTCCTGGGAAGTCATGAAAATGTTGGACATCACATAAGCAAGGGATGTCTGTGGAGATTCTCAGTCATCTAGGTCCCACATAACCATGGGATAAACTTGGGATGGTGCAACTGGTCATCAGTGCTAGCTAGCTGCCAAGTGCCTGAATTTTATTTTGGTGACACTGCAACAGCCAGAAATTTGAAGATCTATTGTACATTATTTCGTTCGGTGCCATCATAACTTCGAATAACTACTGAACAAATGGTGTAGCTCAAGGTATACCTGTAATGGAAAGTATAAGTATAGAATTGATAATTTGCTACAAATATGGGAAAATGTAGTTTTCTTGTGGGTTTATTTACATCTACTTTGTTATTCACTGTTTTCTCCATGTTTCTCTGGCTATAATGACTATGGAGAGATCATAATTTTATACCAATGTAATCTTACAATGGTTTCTAATGAATTTCAGGTGTGAAGTTAGTATCTGATGTATTACAATTTATGCCTGGATCTCAAGAAGAATGTAGAAAAGTATTAGAGAATGGAGAATTGTTGATAATTTCACCAGGGGGAGTACGGGAAGCACTATTCAGTGATGAAAATTACACTATTATATGGAGAAATCGTAAAGGATTTGCTCAAGTGGCCATTGATGCGAAAGTGGTAAATATTGTATTGGTATAATAGGATAATGTTATAACTATTTTTGTGTGCTATGCTTAGAAATATAGTCTATGACTAATGGAGCCTGCCCATCATGGTCATAAGTCCTGATGGTCGTAAAATAAGTCAGTCACATGACCCACCTGATTTTGTTACCTTTTTAAAGGCAATTTTAAGTTACCTGTAAAGTGACTGCCACAGCTATTAAGTGAACACAATGGCTGTTAAGTAAACCAGTAGTTCACTATTGGTGTAGAGGAGAAAAATATGCAAGTCTCAGACTATAGTTTTTTCTGCTTTAAAAAATCTGGGATATCAGGTTTCACTCTTATTCTTTTTAAAAACAATTTCCATGAATTTTCAGAAACTGCAATGAAACATGTTTCTTGAACACATTAATTTCTTTCTTGATTTGGCATGCTTTTTTACCTAAACAATTTTAATTTACATTTTAATCATTTAATGCATGATTTAAAAAAGAAACAAAAACAGTTCATGTCATCTTTCAAAAGTTTTTCTGAAATGTTCTCCAACTTTTCTGCAGGCCACAAAAAGCAGATACTTCTGAGGGAAGTAAATTAAGGGAAATATTGTAAATTCTTAATGTATATTTTGATCACTCTTGTTTTTTTCAGCCCATCATTCCTACATTCACACAGAATATTCGGGAAAATATTAGAATAATTGGAGGACAAATAAGTAAGCAACTTCGTATTAAATCATCTATGATTACATTTTGTTCCTTCTGATCGGAGCTTGTTTTGGCTACATTTCTTGCCAGTACTGGTGGACATGATTTTTATTACCATATTCTAATATATAAATAAATTGGTCTGTTCTATAAAAGAAACCATTATTTCTTTTATATTTTATCTTTGTCTCACAGCTCAAAGCAACATACCTGGATTTCCTCTGTTTTTATTTCCAGATTAATAGTATTGTGAAATATATGAATCTATCTCAATCCAGAGTTGCCAGCAATCTACATGAAAGACAGACCTAAATTTAAGTACTCCAGATGAATTAAATTCATCTCATTAACCTGCACTACATTACAGTGTGGGCATGTAGAATTTTTAACATTTTTTTTTGAGGTTTGATATTTCTCTTTTGAGAGATTATTGTTTGAAAAAAAAAAACCATTGAACTCAAGGCCAGGTTAGTATAGTAAAGGTGCTTAACTAGAATCTGGGACATTATGAGATCTAGTATTCTCTTCTTTTCATCCTTACAACTGATTATGGGGATGCTGCAGTGTCCCCCCCCCCTTTCTCCCCCTCTAGAATGTGTTCTAGAGATACCAAGAGAGGAACAGCTTGCTCTCATTCTATGGAGCTTCCACAAGTGGTTTATGGTAAAAGGTAATAGCAATGAATGTGGGAAGAACATGTGGAATCCCAAGGGGTGTCTCAGGGTTGGAGAAGGCCTTGGGGATGCCCAAAGTAGGTGGGCCTGTACCTGCATTGTACCTTCAATCTCTCCCAACCCTGATGCACCCCAGTCTCCACTTAAAAACCCATACATTCACTTAAGGAATGACATACATTCATTTAATTCATTTAAGGGATGACTTGTCATTTACTTGAGGCAGTTCATTTAGCATTTATATTGATATCTGGCCCTAATTGTCAAACTCCATTGCATTCGTAACTCAAGAATTAGTTGACTTATCTTTACATTATTTCATTTCTTTAGCTTCATTTGTGACTTTTGCTTCCTTATTTGTTCAGTATGATGAACCAGTCCTTTTAGGTTAAGCCAGAGATGATGTCTTCCATGAAGACCACTTTCAAAATTGTTTCAGACCATTCCACATCAATATAATAATTAATTGCAAGCACTGCTTCTCATTGCAGTTACTTCTGTTCTGATCTTTACCCATTTCACTAGTTTTTTTAGCTTATTATCTTTTAGCTTGGCATCTGTTCTGACCCAAACCTTGTTCCAAGGAAACAAACATGAAACAGAGGTAACAGAAAAACCTTTTAATGATTCTTTATGAATTCCATTTCTTCACGGCTAAAAGGTTGTTTCAAATTATCTCTGATAAGAACGAGCCTTGCCAAGGATGTGCAAGGCTGCCAAGAATATTAGATAAAGTTACTAAAAAATATTTCAAACACAAAGGCAAACACAAACACCAACCAAGATCTTCTGAACGTCCACAAGGCTTGAGTGCAAAAACTTCTTTTCTTCCTGCAAATAACTCCGGTTTCTCAGCTGGCTTTTATCTCTTAAGGGAGGGGCCATTACCTTGCAGCTTTACTCCCGAGTCGCCCGTGCTGCTGCAGCTGCTCTTTCCTGTGAGCAGCCCTGCGTGCACGCGCACTGGGCACAGGCTCCTCGGGGACCTCTTCATCACTGCTGCCAGCCTCCACAATCTCCGAAGGCAGCATTCCACTCCCTGATGGTCCTGGCTCCATCCCTGCATCACACGCAGGCCCCTAATCTGAGTCCTCACTCTCCGAGACCTCAGTCATCCACACCTGCTGCTGGTGAACCACAACAGGATCCTTTAACAGTTTTACTAATCTGCCATGCAGCTTTAAATTCCTAATGCAGAACTGAAGATGACACTGGAAGCACGCAAATAATTCCAAGGTGTTCAGATTTGTGTCAGGAAGTAACTTTATATAAATTTGTGAATGCTCAGATTGTTTAAAATGAATAAGTGAGTAAAAATACATAAATGTCCTTGCTATCCTATTAACCCCTCTTTTTTCAATTAATCAGAATTATTAAGACTGATATATGAGTATCTTCGTTTGCCAATATTTCCTTTGTATGGAAACTTTCCAGTTAAACTGCAGGCATATTTTGGAGATCCTATTCCGTATGATCCAAACATAACAGCAGAAGAATTGGCCAAAAAAGTAAGATTTTCCTTTCAAAGTATTAATAGATTGATCCCAACTCATTGGGCTAAGATAAAGACTCCTGGATGAATTGCTGAGATACTTTCAGTGGTATATTATATCAATGGATGTTCAGAGAACATTTTTGTGACTTAAATTGTGGATCAAAACATGCAAATTGTGATTGGCATAAACAGTACCAAAATGATGGAATTGATTGAAAATGAAGCTGAATGAAAGATTAGAGAATTTCTGTCAATATCAACAATATTTCTGGGTAAAGTTCCCAAATTACAAGACATTCTTGTGTTTTATTCAGTATTTATGTTGCAGCAGTATTTTCCAGTCCTTTTTAATTTCCACATACAGTTGTTTTTTAAATGCTTGATACACATCTCTTTTTAGTATAAATATTTAGATACTGAGTTTAAACATTCTTTAATGAATTGATTCTGAACTATTTGGAATTATTTTTGTTTTGGAAGGTAGCATACAAATTAAAAAGTACAAAACAAACATATAGTATATTTTACAGTTCAGTCATATAAAAACCAAAGATACACTAAGATGGTTTACATAGCAGAAAAAAATATTTCTATAGGCCAAAGAATAAAGTATCAGTTATCAACAGCATGATAATGAAACTCAGCAGTCAAGTGTCATTCAAAAGATATAGAATATAGAACATAGAATAAAAGGATTGGAAGTGAATTTGCAGGTCTTCTAGTCCAGAGGTCTCCAACCTTGGCAACTTTAAGACTTGTGGACTTCAACTCCTAGCTGGCTGAGGAATTCTGGGAGTTGAAGTCCACAAGTCTTAAAGTTGCCAAAGTTGGAGACCCCTGTTCTAGTCCAACCTCCTGCTGAACAGGAAAATCTTTGCCATTTTGGACAAATGGCTGTACAGTCTCTTTCTGAAAACTTCCAGTGATGGAGCACACGTAATTGCCAAAGGTAAGCCATTCCATTGATTAATTTTTCTCACAGTCAGGAAATTTGACCTTGGTTCTAAGTTTGTTCTTTCTTCAATCATATTATATGTTTCTGCAAACTGTTTTTAAAAAATACAAGTGACACAGAGAGCTGCACATCATTAGGGAAACAATTCAGTGATATTGGAACCATTACAAAAAAGATTCTGTCCTTAATTAATATGACCCTATGGTCATATTAATCTGAAAGTCTCAGAAACTTTCTGATGGACTAGAAGTGATAGGTCCCACCCTCCTTATAGTTTACTTTTATTGATTTTTTTTCTAGATTATTGTGTGTCTTTGGTCATTAACACTTTTTTCAGTGAAAATGTGGGAGAGAGTATGAAACTATATGAAGTCTTCTAAAATTAACTGGTTATCTTTCATAGATAAATAACTTATTATTTTTTATCAAGCATGTAAGGTTTAATACAGAATCATGGGCTAAGAATAGTTTGATCCTAAAGATTTCACATTGCTCAGTGGAGCTTGGAGTTTTAGAATTCCTTGCCGTTCAGCAAAGGGCAGAGATTCCTTTTTAACAAGCACAAAATCAGAGCAGTCCAGGATCAGCATGGCTGAAGCAAAGTCCTTCTGTTTATTATTTGATTTTGATTTTGTATTTGATTTATTATTTGATTTTTATATTGACTCTTTCCTAGTATGATTTGATTGTTGATTGTACCCTATGACTATCATTAAGTGTTGTACATTATGATTCTTGATTCTTAATGAATGTATCTTTTCTTTATACTGAGAGTATTTACACCAAGACAAATTCCTTGTGTGTCCAAATCACACTTGGCCAATAAAGCTATTCTGTTCTGTTCTGTTCTGTTCTGTTCTATTCTATTCTATTCTATTCTATTCTATTCTATTCTATTCTATT